TACAATATTTGAAGATCCCCACTGGGGCCTTTCCTGCCCCTGACAAGTCGCAGCCACTTGGTACCATTTCTGCTGCACCATGGGGCTCAGCACTGATATTGCCTATCTCATACTCGTACATAGCCATGATGGGTTCTAAAGGACTTACTGAAGCGTCAAAAATTGCCATTTTGAATGCAAACTATATGGCTAAACGATTGGAGGTTTGTTTGTGCTACATCATAAATTTCATGAGTTTCTTTACCTTGCAACTTTACTCACACATTTTTTTTTACAGAGTCATTACCCTGTTCTTTTCCGTGGGGTCAATGGAACAGTTGCTCATGAATTTATTATTGACTTGAGAGGCTTTAAGGTAGGTCCAATTGATCATTGCGGTTGTTTCCTCAACCAATTAGGATTGTATTGCTCTGCTTAATTGTTAGCTTATTTCTATGGTAGAATACTGCTGGGATAGAGCCTGAAGATGTTGCAAAGCGCCTTATGGACTATGGCTTTCATGGACCAACAATGTCATTTCCTGTGCCAGGCACACTCATGATTGAACCCACTGAAAGTGAAAGCAAGGTATGATGACATTCAGGGAAACTGTGGCCTCTTTTCTTGGTACTTTCTATCATGTAAAATTTTCTATAATTCAACTAAATGTCATTGCAGGCTGAGTTAGACAGGTTTTGTGATGCTCTTATTTCCATTCGACAAGAAATTGCTGAGATTGAGAAAGGAAAGGCTGACATTAACAACAATGTACTTAAGGTATGAGTTTTTGTTTTGGCTCTCTGGCAATCTTCTCCATTAATCTGGTATAACAAGAAACACATTACTACTCTTTTTTAGTTTGATTATTGAGTAGTGTTATACAACACAGGATTCATATTTTTGCTTACAATTTGAATTTGGTTGATGCACTTTTGAGTGATTGTCTGAAATATTATGCAGGGTGCCCCTCACCCACCATCACTGCTCATGGGAGATGCATGGACAAAACCATACTCTCGAGAATACGCAGCCTTCCCAGCTTCCTGGCTCCGTGCTTCCAAGTTCTGGCCTTCAACAGGTAGGGCATACTTGTTCATATAATTATTATTCAGAGCTTGATATCCTTTTCGTAATTAACTACCACATTATCCCTCTATTGTAAGGCTAATGTAAGGCTATTCTCTAAAGTCGGTGTTGGTTCTAAAACAAGAAAGAAAGCAGACAAAATCAGACCTTATGCAAGAACAAATCATAAAACGTTGAGACAAGAATACTCAACAGTAGTAAAATGTAAATACAAAAAAAATGCAACAGCAAACAAAAAGATTGATTGAAAGAAGAGAACACAATAGATTTAAGAGATTCAGCCAATTTAGCCTACCCAGGGGAGGGAGCAGATTCCAGTATCCAAAAACAAGATCAAGTTTTTACAATAGAACAATCTCTTGTTCTTCTCAGAAATCCCTTGATCTCTCTAACTAGTTCTCTTTTCTTCTCTATGTTTCTGCTTCCCAGCTCTTCGTGCTCACACTTAGCACTTTGGTCTCACGCTCTCTCTATGTGATACTCTTAGAAAGGATCCCAAACAAATATATATATATATATATATGTGTGTGTGGGGATCCAAGACATTAACACTAAATCATATAAAGTAAGGCAAACTGAACAATCAAATTAATGAAGACATATTATGTATAGTTCAAACCCATCAGATGAATGGAGACAGATTAAATGTATAAAACAAGAAAGAAAGCGAACAAAAATAGATCCTATGCAAAAACAAATCATAAAACAATATTCAACAAGAACGTAAAATGTAAACGCAAAAATAACAATAGCAATGAAAAAGTTTGAAAGGGAGAACACATTTGATTTATGTGGTTCAACCGATTTGACCTACATTCATGAAAAAGAGCAAATTTCACTATCTGATAATAAGATCAAGTTTTTACAATAGAGCAATTTCTTACTCTTCTCAAAAAATCCTTGATCTCTCTAATCGGTTCTCTTTCCCATCTTCTTCTCAGCTTTCCTCTCTACGTAACTTTTTCTTAGTTCCTTGTGTTCACACTTAACACATTGCTCTCATGTTCTCTCTCTCTCTTTGTGATTACTCTTAAAAAGGATCCAAAACACTAAGACTAAGTCTCATAAAATAGGATAGATTGAACCCCTCAGATTAATGAATATAGACTATATATAGTGTCAATCTATCCGATAAATAAAGACAGACCGAAAGTATAAAATTATACAGAAAATATTTTATGAAGCATACAGGTGATTATTTGATTTTGAGTCATTACTAATAGTTGGTGTGAATTTTTTTTACTCTAAATTAATTCTTAAAATTTTCACCTTATCAGGACAATTAAATAGACTAATAAATGTAAATTGTGGTTGGTCGTATCAGGACGAATTGATAACGTGTACGGTGACCGCAACCTGGTTTGCACCCTTCTCCCAGCATCACAGGCCGAAGACCAAGCTGTTGCAACGGCCTAATCTTCCATTGACAAGTATTCATTTTTAAATTGTACAGTACATAAACTCTTCCTATCATACAGTCGTTGCAGGTTCACCTTTGCTTCAACAATTCATCATATCATAATTTTTTTTTATTAAATAGTTATCATTATTCAAAAAAGAAATAAACGGTCGTGGCCTGCGGTAAACTCCTGCTTTTGGATTTTGGGATTTTTTTTTTTTTTGGAAAATTGCTATAATCTTCCTTGAAGTTTGTTAAAATGACACCTTCATTGAGATTTGTCAATATGACGCCTTCATTGAGGTTAATCAAAATGACAACAACGCTCCTCCTTCTATTTTATTAATTGACACTCACTTTTTTTATTTTATAATTTAACTTTCATATACGAGTTTTTTACTCAAATAATACTATTTTAAAAAATATTTACCCAAATAGTAACTGTATAAATTTACTTCTCAAATTAGTACTATTTATTATTCACGTTCCAGAACGGGCCGTTCCAGATTAAAAAACAACACATGACGAATGGATCAGAACGGGTTGTTTGGAATTCAAAAAATGCACATAAAAAGTGGAATCAGAATGGGCCGTTCTGAATTCGGAACGGGCCATTCTGGCTTATAAATAAAAAAATTTAGTTCGATTTTTACTAATCAAATACTAAAACTCAAAAACTAACATTAAATAATTAAATTTATTGAATATTAACATTGTAAATATAACTAAATAAATTTATTAAAATTTAATACAACAATAAAGATCAATGGTGGTAGAAACTGATTATGTTATTTTGTAATGTTCATATCTGTTTTAATCCTACTGGACTTTGGCCACCCTTGAAAGTTCTCTTGAATTCTGGATTTGACCACAAAGTTGGGCCAGTGTAAGTAGGTCAATAATCTTCATGTCGGAGCTCTCCAAACTGTCCTTTGTATACTTTTGCAACTTATTGTAAGGTATATATGAGAGATATGTAAGTTTGATAATCGTGATGTGCATGTAAGCATGAAGCGAGTACATGCGAGCAAGAAATATGAATTTTTTGGAACTTGCCGCAATCACACCACATTATATTTAGTCTTACTGTAAATCTCCTAGCGAGTCATGCGAGCAAGGGATATGAACTTTCTGAAACTTGCTGCAATCATACCACATTTCATTTAGCCTTATTGTAAATTTCTCAACGAGTGAAACTTCTCTCGGATGTTGTGTTTCTTCCAACTTTGTGGCCAAATCTAGAACGCAAAAGAATTTTCAAGGGTCGGTCAAAGTCCAGTAAGATTAGAACAGAGATGGACATTCAAGAATAACATAATCGTGTAAAAAATTGTTCCTATTGTCACACTCCTGGTCATGCCACCATTGATCTTTATTGTAATGAATTTTAATAAATTTATTTAGTTATATTTATAATGTTAATATTCAATAAATTTAATCACTTGATGGTAATCTCTGAGTTTTGGTATTTGATAAGTGAAAATCAAAAAAAAAAAGAAAAAAAAACCTGAATTTGTAGGCTAGAACGGCCCATTCTGGATTCAGAACAGCCCGTTCTGGTTCCATTTTTTATGTGCATTTTTTGAATCCGGAACTGCCCGTTCTGATCCATTTGTCATGTGTTATTTTTTTAATCTGGATCGGCCCGTTCTGGAATCAGAACGGCCCGTTTTGGAACGTGAACAGTAAAAAGTGTTAGTTGGAAAAATAAATTTACACGGTTGCTATTTGGGTAAATATTTTTTAAAATAGTATTATTTGAGTAAAAAACTCTTCATATACCATCCATTTTCATAATATTAATTCATTTATTTGTTAAAATTCTTTTTTTACTATTTGAACCTTTTCTTGTGGTTGAAAAATGCACAAGGCCATTAGTATTGCATTTTTTATTTAGTTGAGTTCCATCATGATATAATATAAATATTAAAAAAAATTGTCATTTATTGTTGGATTGTACAAAGGCACATGTGGATAATTATATTTATCTAAAAATCTTATCAATGGTATTGATTATCTACAACTAAATTCAAGAAATTTAAATAATTCTAAATATATTAATTAAGGATGTGATTTTATAGTCTTAATAGTATGTTTCTCTGTAAAATTCAAAATCATCAAAAGAGTAATTATGCAACATTTATGAAATTATATTTTGGTTTGCATAAATTAAAAAGAAGACAATCTAAAAAGAGTTATAATTTAATCAAAATAAATTTGTTTGGTACAATAGTTTATTTTAAAAACTTAGGGATTGTTTGACGGTTAGGATATGATTTGTTGTTTGTTGCATATATAAATAATTAAATATTAATTTATAAAATATATAATATATTATATAATACCCATTTATATAATAATATATAATATAATATTATATTATAAAGGGGGTATACTTATTCTAAGAACAAATTTATCTAGACTTATTTCACTGGATAATACATATTTTACACTAAATTTTGTTGACCTAATCTTTGAATTAAAAGTTTTTAATGTATAAGTAAGTTTGCAAAGTTTGAAATAATTTGAAAATTATTTGATACTCTGTTTCATTAATTCAAATCAACATATAAAATATTTTTATAATTATCCATCAATTCGAATTAGTGAAATGAAATATCAAATGATTTTTATTTTTATTTTTAATTTTTCATATTTAATTCATGCATTAAAAACTCTTAGTTTAATGGTCGAATAATTAAAATTTGATGTAAAATATAAGATATTGAGTGAAAGAAGTCCAAGTAAACTTATCCTTAAAGTAAGTGAATTCTTTCTCTATATTACATATTACAATGTATATATTAATTTATAATATATATATATATATTATAAAATTTACATTTAACATTTTATTTTATATATAGTTATAAGAATATTGACAAATAAATGTAAATTATATTAATAGCTAAATTATTACAATTTTATACATAATGGTAAAAAATAATAATAAATATAACATATATAATAATAAATATCAAATTATAGATTATATAACAATAAATATTATATAATACTAATTTATATAATATATATCATAAAATTTACATTCAACATTTTATCTAATATATATATATATAATTATAATAATTTTGACATATAAATTTAAAGTGTGTTATTAATTAAAATATGGAAATAAAAAATTATTATTTAAATATTTATTTAGAAAAATATATGAATAATAATTATAATTTTGAAAATATAGTTTTTTAATTTTAAGAAAATTATATTATAAACAATCTTTTTATTATATAGTTAAGATTATATTTTTTTAATATGAAAATTTTAATCAATTAAATTAAAAATAATAATTTTAATGAAATAAAATTTTATTATTTAAATATAATTTATATAATATCTTATTGATATATATTAATTACAAAATATATATTGTAATAATGTTTTTTTGTTTGTTATCTTGATGTGCACTAAACATGGGATATGGTTAATTTTTATCTTACTTTTATCCTATCCTACTCTCATATAATATCTTATCCTATCTTGAACATTAAATGAGTCCTTATAGTTTATTTCCATAGACTAATTGAAGTAGTGTATAACTTAATTTTTAGTTTTTTCTATTCTTTTTTAATTATCCTTATTAATTTAAAAATTATTTTACCTACTTGTTTTTCTCTTACTCTAATTGCTAAATAAATACATATAATTTTACATTAATTAGTTATACCAATTTATCTTATCAAACACTTTTAATTCAATTAGTTGATTTATAATTTTTTTAACTAATTTATTAGATAAGTTTACCATTTACACCCATAATGATAATGGTGACGACAAACATGTTTGGTGGTTGATTATTTGAATAAAAGGTTGAGATTAAAGTTAATGTCTATATTAAAACAAAAAAAAGAATGAACAAAATTAATTAAATTTAATACCATATGATCATGTAAGTTTTAAATACGTCAGATCATGTTATATAAAAGAAAATTATAGGAGGATAAATATAATTTTTGCATAAGAATAGTTTAATTTTGTTACTTCCCTCTATTTTATTATTAAATTTGAAGTGAATAAGTTGAGTCTGTAAGAAAGAGTAATATCTTGTAATCAAAATTAATTGGGACAACAAAGTTACGTTGAATAGGATATATTTTAAGATGAATGAGTGAAAAATAAAGATAAATATATATAACACGATGAATGCCTAGGAAATATTTGACTTGTAGCTCTTAACCATATCACACACTAGTGGTTAACTTAATTTAGAATTTAGCAATATCCTAAGAAAACTACTTCAAATATTACACACTAGTGGTTAACTTAGAAAGGCCTGCAGAGTATGCATCTACCAGCTCCAATGGCTTGGGAGTTGCAAGTTTAAGTTCTAAATCTAGGGACGCGCTCTGGAGAGTGCAATCAGTTGAAGTGGTAGGCCAATTCAATGCTGAATGAGGATGCGAAAGCCACTGAAAACACGTAAAAATCGATAGCTAGTTAATTGGCTGAAGCAATGATAAAAAGTTAAATTAAAGTCGACAAACCCCAAAGCAAGAACTAAATGTGGTTTTACTTTCATTAATTCCCATATGCAAAAATATGTGCAAAAAATATTAAAGAAAATGCATGTTTCATGTAATCCAGAAAAATGTGTAGAATAAGTTATTAAAACCGACTATGGCCAAATGGTAAAAACTAAGCATGAGTTATAACAGTGTTTGTGAATTCGTGTAATCTGAGGCATGCAAGTACTCATTCAACTAGTGGCAAATCAAATAAATGGAGAAACGTCACGTACATGGAATAGGGTGGAAGAATGTTTTGTTCTATTGAAGGTATTGTTTGATTGACGGAGAAAATATTTTTGTGCGTGACTGGCAACTTGGGTAGGCGTTCTTGTTGTCACAAAATTTCTAGATATGTCTCTCCAGTTTCCCTTCCCCAGCTTTTCAAGCCCTACAAGAAATATCCGATGTTCCTCCTCTGTCCACGGCACACCTAAGTTCATCGTAACACAATTACTATAAAATAAACAAGGGCAAATACCATGCATCTTTTGATTTGCAAAGTTACTAGAAAATTTGTATAGCTTTTGTACATTATATTAAAAGATAATTATAGTTTTAGTTAGAATTAACATGATATTTTTACTAATAACAACAATAAAGAAAAAATTTGGTAGAATAAATTCAATAATAAATAAGTTTTATTGAAATATTGATTAACAACATTTGAATAGAGTAGAGTCTAAAATAAGAAGGAAAAAAAAAGATTTCCAATTATAGGAACTAAAAAAAAGATTTTTTGCAAGTACCAAAATTTATTGGAATCCAAAACAGATGAGAAAATTAAGATAACCTTTTTTTGTGTGTTGGAAGTAACTATCTGAATTATGATTTGCAGGAAGCAGGGGAGGCAAGGAAAAGGAGGAGGACACATGGGAAGAGAACAAGTTGTTGGGGCTGAGACTTATTTTTGTGGCAGAATAGGAAGGTAACGATGAAGAATAATAACCACCAAGTTGGTCTCCGAACAGCTTTGGTTGTCCGTGACTGAGACTTTTACAAGTCCTTGCATTGTGACCCAAGTTACCACAATATGAACATTTCCTAGCTATTCCCATTTCTCAAAGAATATCCCTCGCATATATCACTTACTAACCCACAAACACCACACGCATATATAGACTTGGAAATGAGAATAAAAGCAAGAGACACAGAAAGGTAGAGAAATCGTACATTTGTGCGGTCTTTGGTGGCGCTATTGTTAACGTGCAAAGTGGGAGTAAAAAGGTTTGTTGGAGTTAAAAAATTTGGAATTAGAGAACATAGTTTTTGGTTTGAACCTTTCCCACCCAAGGTTTTGCGGTTGAAACCTAAAACAGAAACAAGTCCAGGTACTCTCTTTCAACTATAATTGGACAAAGTTAGAAAAAGCTTATCCTTTATTAATACATAATCTAGCTTTCTTTTCAAGTGGCACAATAAGCATGCGGGGATCAAGAGAAATATTCTTCATTTCATACATCAGCCATCAGGTCAGAACAGTCATTAACAAACTCCGTACATTAAAATATGAAAAAAGTTATACATCAATTTAATCAACAAATATCACTCACTCTCTTAAGTAATCTTTATACTAATGAAATTATGTAAGTAGTCACCAGAGTATTGAATATTCTTATACCAAAAAAGTGGAATATACCAAAACGATAGAGTATTAAATATTCGTCAATTATATAAGTAGGCCTGTGAGAAGGGAAAGAGATAACTTTCGATTAAAATGTGTTAATAAGGAACAAATTCTATAATTTTTTCGTTACTATAAATGTTAATTAGAGAAAGCCTTCTCAAATGTGTGTTAACCCAGTGTCATTTTGCATAAATAAACGAGAATAGTTCTTGCATAACAATAATGTTAGATAAAATCATTAAAAAAAATATTACAAAATTTAAAGAAATTATTTGTTAATTATTGTAATTATTATTTTAAAATATTAATCCTTTATTTTTTGAAATATTTATTTTGTCGAAGTAATGTGATTAAGTATATGTTGTGTAAACCTGTTTTATATTCTCGAGTTGGTAAATGGGCACTTGCATTAACTGAATATTCGCTAACATTTGAGCCGTTAAAAGCAACTAAAGGTCAAATAATTACAGATTTTCTCGCTCACCACTCGAAAGAAACAAAGGAAGTCATCTACTTAACCACAAAACCTTGGCAATTATATTTCGATGGCTCGAAACACGAGTTAGGCGCTGGAATAGGGATTTTAATCGTATCCCCAGAAGGGTTCCCGACTAAATTATCCTTTAAAACGAACAAGAGGTACTCGAACAATGAAAATGAGTATCAAGCACTAATAACGGGACTCGAAATGCTCGTAGAATTGGGTGCTCGAAATGTATTAATTCGAGGAGATTCACAATTAGTCATCAAACAATTAACACAAGAGTATAAATGTTTAAATGAGAAGTTAATTGAATTTAAAACTCGAGTTGTGCAGTTGCTTAATATTTTTGATGAAGTTGAATTACAACATATTTCTCGAGGCTCAAATGTCATTGCAAATAAGTTAGCCCAAACAGCCTCAGGGTATAAAGTAAGTTAAGAGTGTTTGGAGCACCTATTGCATATAGAAAGTGAATTGATAGATCATCGAGAAATTCTAAATATTGGTTCCTCGAATCAACGAGACTGGAGAAGCGAATTGATAGAATATTTGCAAAATCTCAATCTAAGGGTCGAAAGAAAGATCAAACTCCAAGCCCTCAATTATGTATTGCTAGACAATGAATTATATAAAAGAGGTTTCGATGGAATCCTATTCAGGTGCCTTGGAAGTCATGAGAGTTATATAGCCATAGCAGAGATACATGAAGGCATTTGTGGAGCACATCAGGCTGGAAAGAAGATGAAATGGGTTTTGTCGAGGAAAGGTTTGTATTGGCCAACTATGATTAAGGATTGTATCGAATTCGCAAAAAGTTGTGAAGAGTGTCAAAAACATGGACCAATACAAAAGGTACCAGCAAGTGGGTTGCATTCGATCATCAAACCTTGGCCTTTTCGAGGTTGGGCAATGGATTTAATTGGACAAATACACCCACCTTCTTCGAAAAATCACAAATATATATTGGTTGCCATAGATTATTTTACAAAATGGGTCGAAGCTGTTCCTTTAAAAGAAGTTGAGCAAAAAGACATAATTGATTTTGTCGAAGATCACATTATTACAAGGTTTGGGATTCCTCAAACAATCCCTATTGATCAAGGCACAGTTTTTACGGGTCGAAAAATCGCTCAATATACGGAATCGAGAGGGATTAAGTTGATAACTTCAACACCATATTATGCACAAGCAAATGGTCAAGTCGAGGCTGCTAACAAAGTGGTGATCGGGTTAATAAAAAAGCATGTATCAAGCAGGCCTCGAAGTTGGCACGAAACTCTTGTTCAAATATTATGGGCTTATAGGAATTCACCTAGAGATGCCACGAAAACTACTCCATATAAATTAGTGTATGGGCATGAGGTTATCATTCCTATTGATATTAACTTACAATCAATTCATATATAGAAATAAAACGAATTACCTATTGACGATTATTGGAATTTAGTGTATGATGAGTTGATTTCTTTAGAGGAAGAAAGGTTAATAGCGTTGCAAAATCTTGTTCGACAAAAAGAAAGAGTCGAGAAATCGTACAATAAGAAGGTTAAAACACAACGATTTCGAGTCGGGGACTTGGTGTTAAAGGTGATCCTTCCCATGGATCAGAAATCTCGATACCTAGGGAAGTGGTCCTACAATTGGGAAGGTCCCTTTATAGTCGAGCAAGTATATTCAAGCAATGCATATGTGATCAAAGAATTAAATTCGAATACAAGCAAAGTAATAAATGAAAAATACTTAAAGTGCTTTCATAAAAGGGTAGAATACTGATTGTTCAAGGATAAATAAAAGTAAAGATAGAAAAGAGAAATCTAATTATTACAAAATTTTGATCTAAAATCTTTGAAAGCCTTATAAGCCTCATCCAGGCTTTGCCTTCGAGCAGTGCATTGAGCCTCCAAGTGTTTTTTCTGTTCCAAGGTCTTCGCAAGTCGAGAAGATATGGCCTTGCCTTCATCTTGAGACCTGTTTGACGCTGCTTGATTTCTTGGCTCTGGACCTTGATACCATCTTTCTTCGAGCGGGTTTTGTCCAATTCATGTTGAAGAGCCTTGATAGTTGTTTCTATATCTTCCTCCTCTTTTTGTAATTTTTGCAAGGAAGAAATCATTTCTGTCGTTGAACTCTTGATGGGTCAACTCCTCACGAAGGCTCTCGAGCTTAACACGGTCGTCCTCGCTTTCGATCTCAATCTGAGACACTTCCTGGAAGGTAGTGGACCATTGAGCTCGAAGATCCCATGCGAGGCTGAAGGGCTTAATAAATTCCTGCAACTCAGAATGAACCTCGGGAGGAAGATCCGAATAAGACAATAAATCTTCGACCATCTATTCCACTTTTGTCTTAAACGCAGGGAGGAGAAAGGCTTGATCAAGGTTTTCGACATATGCTTTCAATCGGAAAGAATCAAGCAAAGGTTGATAAGATGGAGTCTCAGAACCTTGCTCGATGACCTTTTCTTTTTCTTTTTCTTTTTCCGACCCAGAAGGACCACTCGTCCAATTGTTAAACACCTCGAAGATACTGTTAATATCTTCATCCTCGTCATTAAAGAAGCTCATCAAGTCCAAATCTAGAGAAGGAATTGATGAAAGGCCCTGGATGGAAGAGGTAGTACCCTTTTGGGTTGAGGGAGAAGTTGTGAAGGGTCTTGGAGACTCGGTCGAATCTATACAAAAAGAGACAATAGATATATAAGATAATTTTGTTCAGAATCACAATAAGGGTGTGAAGTTAAAAGAAATATACCCTTGTTTGGACTCAAGGGGGGTTGGAGCGTGATAGAATCTTCACCTTGGGCAGACTCTTGCTTAGGCTCCTCATTCACCAGAGGGTCTGATTGAGGAACCTTGTCTTCTTTAACCTGAGGAGGAATCTCTATCGAAGCCAAAACTGAAGCCATCGTAGCAACATCTAGTTGAGGGTTGGTTAACTGCAAGTAAATCACAAGGTTAGGATAAGGTTTTGGGAGAGAGACCAAATAGAAAAATGAAAAGTGAACCTGTTGGGTTGTCCCGGTAACAAGAGGCACATCTCTCGACACATCGTGAGAAGAATCAAGTTGGATGACTTCAACATCCTGCAATAAAAAAGAGGTGTTAGAGAAGTCAATGGCAAAAGGAAAATGAAATCGAGAAAAATTAACTTACCTTTGACACCGATTTCATTGCATCTCGGAGAAGCTTCACAGTCGGAGGCTTCTGGGCTTTCTTGGAAATAGAAACTACCATCTTTCCTTTCCCTTTATCCTGCTTTTTAGTGGTCGAGACCTGAAAGTGAGGACAATTGTATTATTAAGAAATGTGAGCAAGAGAGTAACATTGGTATTTGGGTTGATTCACTTACAGTTTTGGTACTGTCTGAGCTCACTTTTTGTTTCTTTGAGGTTTCAATACTCTGTAAGGTAAAATCTTGAAAAGGTAAGATGAAACAATCGAAAAGTTTTAGTAAAGAGTGAAATCGAAGTGAATGGTACCTTAGAATGTAAAGAAACTTTGTCAGCAGCGGTCTTTCTTTTTCGACCTTTCTTTGATGTCTCCTTATCTTCATCATCCTCACTCTCCCAATTAGGAGTTTGCTCAACATGTTGTGGAACACGTTGAGGAATGGCAGCTGCAAAATTCGAAGAAAGAGATGAGACAAGTTCAAATCAAAATCGAAGAAGAGTGGTGAAAGACATTTACCAGGAGGAGGGTTAACGTTATTGACCCAACATAGTGGCCACCATTTGCTTCGAGGGAAATCATACACGGAACATCTCGCATAGGTAACTCGATTCTTTACAGGAATCTCTTTGCGCTCGAGGTAAAACGGATCGAGGGTTTTCACCCAAGGAGGGTGAGATAAATGTTTAACTAAACCGAAGAGAGCATTCGGAAGAGGAGGTATGTGTTTTGGACAAAACTTTTCGAAATCAGTTTTACCTCGAGGGTTTATTACCTTTTTTGAGCGGATGTTCCTTTGTACCATTTTCGATAATGAGACCGAAGCGTCAAAGATGGTTCGATGCACATTGTCAGGTCGATAACAAACATTAAAAAATTGTTCGAATTGATAAATTATAGTTTGATTCTTGAAAGTACCTGTTTGTTTGGGACCCTGCGAAGAAAGTGGAGAATTAATCAGCTTTGCTAAAAATGTATCGAAGTCGATCATTTTGTCAACATGATACTCACACCACCAACGAAGAAAACATCTAGAAACTAATAAATGAGAAAAATAGCAAGGCGTGAGTTGAAGTTGTTTTTCAGGACGTAAGATGAACTCCAAAACTTCTTCGTAATTCCCTCTCTCGACACAAATATCAGAATCTATATTTTCCTTACATCGAAGAGGGAGAGGTTTCATTTGACAAAGTCCAAATTGTCGAGCGAAGAGTTGAGGTTGGTAGGGGTAAATTCTGACATCTTTTTGACGCATGCCAGACATAATCACATCCCAGGATAAGAATCCAAACCAGATCTCGACAGAATCCTGTGTCATATTCCAGACTTGATTATTGTGGCGAAGCCAAGTAGGACCTATCAAAGAGGTACGTATGAACGGAGCCAAATCCTCACTAAATTCTTCGAAACTGAGAATCGCAGCAATATATTTCGAGAAGTTGTCAACCAGACGTTTTCGAGGAGTAAGTGTGGTGAGGCGAGCTCCTTCGAGGGCACACGTTGGGGCAAAAGATGAAGTCAGTGAAAGCTTGTTCTCCAAAATGGCGTTCAGCTACAACTGTAGTAACCATAGAGGCCCAGAAAGGTTTTGAGGACCAGATTCTCGAGAAAGACTTTCCGAAGCCTCATCGAGACATGTATACAGAGAGGCTAACAAGAGTTTACTTAAACAAATTTTCTTTTTAAGATGTAAGGCCTGAGCTAAAACGTAATAATATTTTGGAACCTGAAGAGAGGGAGTACAGAAGACACATGCGGATAACCATTACATTAAAAAAGCAATATGTTCAGATTCTGAAACAGGGGTGCCAGGTTGTCCTACATGAGCATTGATACAGGCCAGGTAAGTCTTCTTGTCCCAAGTAATCGAAACTTCTTTGATCGAAATTTCTTCTTCGACAGCATCAGGGTGGAATCTATCTCCTAAGGGGGTTAAACCGGTTATGGCCGCGATATCTAACAGTGTGGGACCAACAAAACCACAGGGGAACTCGAAAGCACGAGTCTCTCTGTTCCAAAAGAAGATTGCAGAAAGGAGCATTTGAGGATCGAAGAGATGAAGATCAAATGGGGCGAGTTGAATAAACTCAGAAATGCCAGCTTCTACCCAAGAAGGACCCATTGCTTGTTCTACTCAAAGTAACCACTGAAAGTGTCTATCTTTAAGAGGGGGGAAAGCCCTAAAAATCTTAGTGGTATCGTTGAACAAAGATAAATCTATTTCCGAAGAGTAGATGAAGGGTAAGGAAGACTCGTCTTCAGGTAACAAAGTATTCCCAAATTTTTTCTTGTTTTGACCCATAAACGGACCTAAAAAAGCATGAGTATTACCATTGGCAAGAGTAAAAGGAAGAAGTACCTGGGACTGATAAATTTTAAGGCTTGCCTCCTCCATGCCTGGGATAGGGACGAAGGTATCGTCCCCATCTTTGACCTTGCACACTTGAGCACTAGTCTTAAACAAGGAACCCGCCTGGGTTGAAGTGGCAGTGTCCATAGTGGTTAAGGGAGTGGTGGTCATAGTAGCCAAGACGGGAGAAGAGGCAGCAGTAGGAGTTGAAGATATAGAAGAAGCTACGGCGGCGGAAGTAGACGCGGCAGAAGAGGCCATTGAAGCACAGAAGCAAAGTTAAGAACGTGGGGAACGAAGGTACAAGGATCGCCGGAGAAGGAGATTGAGAAACAGGGCAAAGCAGAAAAGCAAGGAAACTTAGGCGCAAAGGAAGGCGATGGTGAAAGTAGTTTTTAACGTTAGGGTAAAAAAGGCTTTTAACGGGCCTAAGGTAAAACAGGCCCATCAGTTAATTCAAAATTTAAAATGAGCGTTAGAAACGACCGCCAAAAAACAGTTTCACAATGATGAAACTTGGGAAAATACGCAAGCACGCGCCGTCAGGGCAGTTAATATCACATCAAAACAGTCGTCACATTAAATAGGGGTCAGAAATAGGGTTTTATCGAAGGAATATAATTCCTGATACAATTCGAGAGAGCATCGAAGATAATTCCTGATAGGAATTCAGTTCTATTCATCCGGCACGTTCATTGAAACTGAATTCCTAGGGGGGCATTTGTTAGGGTTACTCGAAAGCCATATGACTCGAAAAAGGGGGTTTTTGTGAGAACTGCTTGAAGTAGAGAAAGGTCAACACTTACTAAGATTGTATCAGGGGATTTAATTGTTTGCACTCGAGAGTCTAATCCAAGAGAATGAATGCTCGAAAAGAAAGGAAGGGGGTTATCATAGGCCTCTAAAAAAGGGGTCGGACATCGAGAAAGGTAGCAGAAACTAAGAATCGAAAAATATAAAACACGTGGGAAGAGCAGTTAAAGGTAGTTATCTCTTAAACCCGCATAAGCGCGACGTAGTGGCTAGCGGTTATACTCACCCACGATAATCCCCACGAATTAACTGCTCGCAGTTAAATCCTATAAATCTGAGAGTTGGGCATCTTCACAGGGGTCGGAAATTTCATACTAAGACTATACTCTGAAGCACTCTCTGTCTGCGCTATGACTTTCGTGCATGGAATTGTTTTTGGGTATGATTCTTTCTCGGCCATTTTCATTTTCTTCTTATAGGAGTAGAATTAGCGTAGTTTCTTGTTTTCAATCTTGTAATGTTCGATCATCATCAATGTTGTATTGTTCTAAACCTTGTAAAAGTGAACCATGATTTGTATTGCTAATATCATTATTGTTCATTATGTTCATCTAAGTGTTTACGTGCATGGAAATAACTACTTATTAATCATTGACGAATGCTTAGAGACCAGCAATTATTGATCATTCTATTTCATTCCTTTTCATTATAATCCGAGAAACATATGTCTGAATTGAAACACTTGGTGTACTAATCTAAGTAAAAAGAATCCATAATAAACAAATTCCACCGTAAACAAGAACAAAAGGAAAATATATGGCAGTTTATTAATTAATTAAAGTACACCCAGTTTTTTTTGGTTGAGAAGAGCAATCATCATAAAAAATTAAAATAAAATAAAAAAAGACAAATGAAAAATAGCTCTAACACAAAGAAAATATCATCGATAAAGAACGAATAGAAAATGGAAAATATATACGTTCATGTTAATTACCTCTTCATTCTTCATTTCAAATTTGAACATTAAAAAAGATACACCATGAAAATTCAAAAGCACAGGTGACTACGTATGATGTTGGTAAAAACAAACATTATATTATAGCAATAAAAACACAGATGATGTGGGTCATAACATAAGTCATAATAAATAATTGAGATGAGTGAAAACCAATATTGCAGGAGGAATAGTGGGTCCAGTGGAGATGAGGGTGAGAGTTGGTTAAAGAGTTCACATGAAGCCCGTATCTCTCTATCTCCACTTCACCCTTTTCCTTTTCCCTCTCCTTTTCCAATTAATGAATGCGACCACTTCCCAGTTCCCATCCACTATTTGTTTTTTGGATTAATTATTAATTGTTTCCCTGACTAAACGATTAATTAACGTGTTCCCAGCTAATATTTTGTAACGAGAACTTGAAGTTACGGGATAAGAAATTAAAATTAAATTCATGGTTCCATGATGGCATAAATTTAGTTAGATGCAAGCAGCAGAAATTAATATTGGATTTTGTTTGTCCCAAGTGGCAAGTATGTTGTTAGCAAAGTAATTTATGGTTTAAATAGAGGTTTTTGGAAGGGCATAGTTGTCTTAACGGGTGAAGGAAAGATAAATAAGAGTCACGTCAGTTAGAGAGTTGTGTGATTTGATTGAGTTCACTCAGTATTCATGGATGGGGAAAGAGAAAGGTTGCATAGAGAAGCAGAAGGGTGAAGGAAAATTAAAGAAATAAAGAGAGCGTGTTAAAACTTAATAGAGATTGTTATGGCCTCAGGATCAGGATCAGGATCAGGATCAGAAGCAGAAGGTAGCACTGTGGTGGGGCTAACCCCAGAGGAATTCAGCGAACTGGAAAGCATCATAAAGACGCACCACAAGTTCGATCCTTCCCCAGAAATCTGCACGTCCATCATAACGCAGCGTATCGAGGCTCCGGCGCAGACGGTGTGGCCCCTGGTCCGAAGCTTCGAGAACCCCCAGAAGTACAAGCACTTCATAAAGAGCTGCAACATGCGGTCAGGCGACGGCGGCGTGGGCAGCATCAGAGAGGTCACCGTCGTGTCGGGGCTGCCGGCGTCCACGAGCACGGAGAGGCTGGAGATCCTTGACGACGAGAAGCAGCTGCTGAGCTTCCGCGTGGTGGGCGGCGAGCACAGGCTCCACAACTATCGCTCCGTCACCTCCGTCAACGAGTTCAACAGAGAGGGTAAGGTCTACACCATTGTGTTGGAGTCTTACGTTGTCGACATCCCCCCAGGGAACACCGGTGTCGATACTAAGATGTTTGTTGACACTGTCGTCAAGCTTAACCTTCAGAAACTCGCCCACGTTGCTATGGCTACCACTCCCATACTGCACTGAACCCACCTTTCACTTTCTCTACCATCACTATTCACTATTGTATTAATTCCATAATTACTCCTGCATGCTTTTGCTTGCAACTTCCAACCTACAACTTTTCAACTCTATTCCCTCTTTAAAATTATTTTACTTCTCTTATGTTTTTATATTTATATCTTCTCATACAATAATTACTACTGTGTCTGTGCCTCAAATTATATTACAATATTACATAATAATAATAATAATAATAAACATTAATTAATTACAATATTTCACTTCAAAAAATATTAGAATATCATTTTTATAATTTTTTTTATATTTTATGACGAATTAGATCTTCTTCCTTTCTTGTTTATTATTATAGTTTTAGATGTATAAATGATATAAATATTTTTCATGATGGTTATTTAATGTCTTTTATACATTTCAAATTATATAAAAATAAATAGAAAATAAAGAAAAGGTGATATAGATAACCTTATTCAAATAATTTTATACCTTTTTTCTTATATATAAAAATGGAAGAAAACAAAAGGTTAGCATCTAAATAGATCAAGATGCTTTATATTTTTTCTTTCACTTTTTCTATTAAAATTTTGAAGAAATAAATGAAATGAAGAAGAAAGAATATTATTTATTTTTCTAAATGAGTGTTTGGTAGAAGGAGTTTTTTTTTATGCCCGAGTGTCGTGACTCTAAGAAATCATGAATCTTAGGAATCATGTTTTTTAAAAATGATTAAATTTAATCATAAATGTTATCAAGAATATTCATAAATGTTACTTAAAAATTAAACATTTTTAATTGGATTCAATTTGTCCTGTCCCTAAACCAAATCCTAACTTAGTATAAGGGATAAATATATCTATTGAATCTTAATAATAAAAGAAAGAAAGTGAAATAAATAAAGTTTTAACTTAACCTCCCAATCTTTCCAATAAAGCAATTATTTTTGGAAAGGATTTTTTTGTTTATTTGACTGTCTTTTGCATTACTTTTTTTTCATTTTATTATTATTGACGATTGAAATAAAAACAAAAACGATTGATGGTGTATCTTTTTTAATGTTCAAATTTGAAATGAAGAATGAAGAGGTAATTAACATGAACGTATATATTTTCCATTTTCTATTCGTTCTTTCTCGATTATATATTCTTTGTGTTAGAGCTATTTTCCATTTGTCTTTTTTATTTTTTATGATGACTGCTCTTCTCAACCAAAAGAAACTGAGTGTACTTTAATTAATTAATAAACTGCCATATATTTTCCTTTTGGCCTTCAGCATGAATATCAACGCGAGATTGTTTTCTACGATAAAAAAATGTTTTGATATGCTACTCTCGCGGATTTAGCTAAAATGGATCTATTTGGAGTCAATCTTATCAACTTCCATTAATGAACCTTGAAGAACAAATAATTAAAAAGTGAAAGACCTAAAGAGGATGAAGAAAGACGTCACGAAACAAAGATTAAATCAACAAAGGATAAATTTAGATCAAAGATCTGTCAAAGAAATCAAAAAACCTTTATATGAAGTTATAAAATTCTTCTTATCAAAGTATCTCAAGAAGTGACATATTCAACACTTTCAAGAGTGGAACTATAACTTTATTTTGAGGGGAAGATCAAATTATATTTTTTTAACAATTATACATAAACATTCTAACATTATAAATAGTTCATTATTATTTATACTTTTTTATCTTGTATATTTTTGGGACTTGTGGTCAACTATGTTATTGGTACTTGATGTAGACGAGCCGGTGAAGAATGCTCACATCACATGGCTCATTATGTAATGAAGACAAGGTCATATATGGGCTTTGTGTAACCCTTTATATAAAAGGGCCATCAACTAGGCCACGGGCTGTATTAATGCTGCCCACCCCTCACAAATAACAAGTCCATCTCTGCAATCTGAACTTCTGGGCCCACTCACTATTCAACATTAATTCACCTTATAGTCGGTATATCTTTCAATATTATAGGTTAATATTATACAAAATATTACAACAAATTTTTTAATATAAATAATTTATTATTATTTAATTTAAATATATTTTTTGTCTCATAAAATGAACATATTTTAATTTAGTTACCGTAAAAAAAATCTTTATTTTTCTAAAATTTGTAAAATATTATTATTTTTATATAAAATGAGTAAATTTTAATTTTAATCATTAAAATATATATATATATATATATATATATTTTATATTCATTTCTCTTAAAAGCATTATTTTTAGTATATAATGATATTTTTAAGGTAAATAAATAACATGTATTTTAAATAATTATAAAAAAAATTATAAGTATCACACACTAATATAACATCACTAACAATTATAGATAACATCCAAGATGAACACTTAACATTTTAAAAAAAAATAAATTAACTAAATATATTATATAATAATAAAAATTAAAAATAATAATTCTAAATTTTATAAGATAAAAAATTAAAAACTTCTTTTATAGAAACCAAAATCAAATGTTTTACCCGACTAAATATATATATATATATATATGCATAATCATGCGGGTTTTCGATCTTTTGTTTTCTTTAACTTTTTATTATATTATTTATTAATTGCATTAATAATTTTTTTCTTCTATGCCTTTCGTTTTCTTCTTATCTTTCTTCCTACAAATTAAATCCACAGAAATAAAGAAGGCTTTGATATTTTGCCTATGATTATATATATATATATATATATTGCACGTTGATACAAAACCATTGTTATGTTATGCAAGAAGCTGTCCCTCCCAAGCATAAAATTTCTCACTATATCATATATGTTACTGTGTCAGACAAAAATACACTACAAAAATATCATATAGTAACAAATGTATCTATTAATATAATATGAAAATACAATTATTTTGTTAAGTGTTTTTAAATTATATTTTTCTCGTTTTTTTAGTACACATGTAATGTTATATTACTATTTGAATATTATAAAACTTATATTCTTTATTGTACGAAAATATATTAATATTTATATTCTGTGTTTATATTTATTAGATAAAAATATATATTCAATAATAAAAATTTGTTTATCAGATGAAAAAAATAAAGTAAATAACCAAATTTATTTTTCAAGTGCCACATTACTGATTTATGTTATTATATTATATTCTAGTATATGTGAGTTGCAATATTAGTAAGGTGTCATGTCATCATCAATTCATAAATTAAATTAAATTAGAAAAATCAAAAACACATATTAAAAATTATAGATAGACTTATAATTTAATCTAAATAATAAAAAATTTGCTTGATAATATTATGCATTGTACCTATCTAAAGGACACATTATAGTAATCTTCTTGTACTTTGAAGGCCTAACGAGAGCTCCAATCAAATATTCTGGCGAGGGGGATACTTGCAAAAGGCACTCCGACACTCAAGTCAGGACAAACACAAATGTCGATAGTAATTAATGAACAGTGACATTACCTCGAGATGTGAACTATTTATAGTGACATTAATGGCCTCATCCTCTATGGCCATATACTAAGTTTACCGAATTAGGTAATACGCTCTTAATCGTCTTATACGCATTATTAACTTCTCATAATTCTTTTATAGGTCACTTATCCTTTGAATCGCCCTTTGGGGTGCCTTCGGTTGTTGTGAGTGCCGATTGGATGTTGGCAACCGGAAACTATCATTTCGGGCCCCGACAATTCAAGCAACACAATCCTTTCGGCCCTCGACTAGTTGTAGTAATTGAAATGGCAGACGCAAGTTGAATGAAGCTGAAACCTGAAACACTGAACAACAACGTTAGTAAAATCCCTTGAGGCGTGTGATAGCACTGACCTTAAGGACTTATTCGCGGTATACGCGCAAGCCCCCCAGGATACAGCAGGGTCTTCTCAGTAACGAGGAGCAGAACTGGCAGTCGAGGTTTTGAGAACTCAGAGAGAGGCAGAGAAAAGTATTCGGGTAGGTTAACAAACAAATGTCGCATCCTTTATGTATAGAGTCTCAGTAACCCTAAAAGGATCTGATCCGAATTTTTAGTGATAAGATTTGATCGGTTTTTCAAAACAGAATGAAGTTTGAATTTTGAAATGGAAAAACGGTCATATTCGAATAAGGTTTCTTTAATTAATTTTAAGAAAAATTAATGTAATCAAAAATAAAAAATATTTTTGGATACGAGGGGGGGCAAATCAACAGATTTGAACTACAATGGGCTCACAAGGAGCACTTTAATATATAAAGGCTCTACATATAGGTGGACCAAGCAATGTGGACTATTTCCTTTTGAAATATCACATATAAGTGCAACAGATTGAACGGGCGTGGACTATTCTGACCCCGATCCTTGGGTTGTGTCGCCGTTCGGCTATGTCGGGGAGGAGTGAGCCACGTCCTCGAGGTTACCCTTTATTATTATGCCAAAGGGTACTACCGAGACGAAAGGTATAGCCGAGCTGAAAGACATGGCCGAAAGGCCTTTTTTGCACACTTGCTGAAGGGTATGTCTGTACCGAAAGTTATGGCCGAAAGGCCTTACTCGTACATGCATCAATCTATTATTTTTGTTAAAATTTTATATAAATAATTTTATGATTATGCATCCGAAAAAATGACGCAATAAAAATGTTAATTTTATTAAGTGGTTATTTTCATGAACGTGGTACGTAAACATAAAAATGATGAGGTGATTTTAATTATATTTCAGACATTTTTTTCATAATTATTAAAGAAAGACATATTGATGAACTAGTGAAGTTCATAATTAATAAACATATAGTAAATCAAAGATTTACTTAAATATCACGAAAAATATTAATTTTATCAATGGAAAATATTTATGTCTTTTGAACTTTAAATAAAAATGAATATTTTATCAAAAGTTTTAAATAGACTAATTCATTGATGCAGGTTTTACGCGGTTGTCCTTCACACTTCATAGTCACGTGTTCCTCGAGGTTGGTCGCAAGTGAAGTGATCGTATTCATCACAAGATTTTGTAACCTTTTTTGTCCTTGCCAATTCAGAGTTAACATATAGACCACGCAAAAATGTTTTAAACTCAACTACTACGTGCTACCTTTTTCTTCCTAAAATAAGGTAAATATTGTTCAATAAGTGATTAATAAAGAAAGGGGCACAAAATATTTATTATGCATAAAATATAAATATAAATATAAATATTTTATTTTAATTAATTTTAAAAATATATGAAATCCTTCTTAGATTATTTTTTTTATAAATATTTATGAATAAGTATTTTTTTGGAATAAAATCACAAATATAATAAATCACGTGAATTTGAATAAATAAAAATATTTTAATAAAAGATATTTTTGTAAAAAATATTTATTATTTTCAGAAATATAATAATGTAACATAAATTAAAGCAAAAGTTTAACATGATCTTTATATAATGCAAAATTTAAATTATGAGAATATTAAAATAAATAAATTTATTTTACATAAAAATGTTTATAAATTTATTTAAACAATTGAACTATTAAAATATTTTTTATTTTAAAAATGTTCTCTTGTATTATTATTTTAGGAGTGAATTATACTCCTTTCTCAAAAGATATAAATACTACATTGTTCTCTCATCTTATATTAAAAAATATATTTTACTCCATTGATAAATTTTAACATATGACACTTTATTTATTTATTTTAAATTTTTTGCTTAAGTTTTATTAACTTTTATTAAAAAAATATTACTAAAACATTATTTATACTAATATCCTCTAAAATATGCAAATGCAAGTATTACACCGCCTCTCATCTTTATGCTAAGATAATCACTTTTCTCACTTAATAAATATAAATATGTTACACTTTAATAATTTATTTCTTGATTTACATGTTTAATCATTATTATTTTAAAAATTGTTATGAATATTGTTAAAATTAATCACATAATTTTATAAAATATTTTCAATTATTTTGCTCACAAAATAATTTTTTTAAAATTATTATAAAAAAATATATATATATATATATATAATAATAATAATAATAATAATAATAATAATAATAAAATGCAATGTTAATACATCCCTTAAAAATCAAATTTAAAACATTTATATATTTTTTAAATTTTAAATATTAAAAATATTGAAAAAAATTCAAGTCTCACATAGACTAGAGATTAGGCAATTAAATATTATATAAGTGGAAAGCAACTCTCACCTTACAAGTCAGTTTTGTAGGGTTGAATTAAGTTTAAATCCACTATTTTAAGATGGTATCAGAGCTATCATAGATTCTTAAAAATGGGCTACCCACCATTCATTGATACATGCACCATGGACATGAAGGAGTGCATTCAAGTCCCGTCAATCCTAAATCATTAAAAAGTGTCACCTACCATTTATCCACGTACCAAACCCAGTAGTGCTAGACGTGAGGGAGGTGTATTGGAAAAAACCCAAGTCTTATATTGACTAAAAATTATGCAATTAAATAGTATATAAGTGGAAAACAACTCTCACCTTACAAGCCAGTTTTGTAGATCCACTATTCTAAGAAAAAAAATGCTATATCATGTAAACTTTTTGAAATGTGATGGCTATTTTTGTTTATTTAATTTTTTAATGTTATTATATTTTAAAGATGTTTATTTGAGTGTGTTCTCACTGCACATTAATTTTCTTTTTAAGAGTATGAAGCTAAATTTTATCTTCTATGATCGATGCTATTGAAATTGTAACCTATAAACTAACGATTTATAAATCGAATCGCTTATATTATTCTCACACCATGAGTGACATGTCAAGCTCTTCCATGCTTGCATCCATCCACATTAAACTTTCAAAAATGTTACAAATTAGATAAGAGAGCGGGAGTGAGAGAGAAAAGGAAAAATAAAAGGAGAGAGAAAGAGAAATATTTTCTATTTTAAAAAAAGGATGTTATGATTTTTTCTATATACATTAAACTTTTTTCTAACTCAAAAAAGTTAGATTTTTACTTCCTCTTATAGAAATGCTTTTGTGAAAAAGTAGAATAAAAGTGGTTCCTGAAAAATTATACTTCAAATGATTTTTTTTAAATAACTACCAAATATAAGAAATTAAATTAAGATTCTCAAAAATGCAAAAATATTCCACATACCTAACATCTCTTTATGATTGATAGTTTTCATTATTAATGTAATAGAATTAAATTTATTTCAAAAATATTTTTGAATTTGATTAATTTAACTAGTGATAACATTAAATGATACTATACTTAATTCAAAAAATATATTTTTTCACTTATTAGTGTCACTTGTATTATTAATATATTGATAAATGCATTCATTTGTATGAGGATATAAAAAAAAATAGTAATTAATATATTTGAAAGTAACTACCTATTTATTGTAATTAGGGAAAAAAAGTGTATGATTTTTTTATATAAAAAATAAGAAGTATTATAATATATTAAATTTAAATTTTATTAAATATATGCTATTAAAATGTAAATAGTATCTTATTTAATTCAAATGTGAGTAATAATTTTTGAATAACTATATTCATAAATAGCAAGATTTATCGATGGTAATACATTCCACAAAAAAAATAAATCAAAGTTGATCCATTAATATAATTTTTATTTTGAATGTTAGAAAAAATTTAAATATATTATTCTATCATGTAAACTTTTCGGAGTTTGGTTACAATTTTAATTTATTTAACTTTCTAATTTACTGTAAGTGAAGACTTTTGATTTTTCTTGTCACACGTGATTTTTTTTTTAAATATAAAACTAAAGTTTATTTCAATACAGCTGGTGCTACTGAAATCGTAAGAATAAAATTTTCATCTACACATCTGAAGGTCTATATTACTTTTGCACCGTGGGGATATGCCATGCTCCCCGACGCTAGCATCTGTCTATTAAATAGCTGGACTTCAGACAGAAGTCATGTTTACCTCACAAAATCACACTTTAATTTTATTTGATAATTTAAGCGAGAGAAAAAAAAAATGACATGTCACATGTCTAGTGGCACTGTTTGCATTTGCACAATGAATATAGAGTTTGTGGTTGTTGGCTTTGGTAATTACCCGATATGCAAAGTTATACTGCTGTATGAAGTCATGGGTTTGCTCATGCAAAGATACAAACTGGCAAGTGCCATGCAAGTTGCAACCAATAAAGAGTTGATACCAGGTTGGGTTCCGTAGTGTAATCTACTTATCGGTAATAACAACAATAAATTCGTGAAAATTTGTCGTCATTGGTTGCTTTGCTTACCTCACCTTTGAATCTCAGCTCTCTGTATCTGGTCACCACCAAGGACACTGCTATAAGGCTCTAACAGTGTTTCCCTTTCTCTGTCCCTCTCATTTCATTTGCCTTGTGCGTTTAGTTGTTACATTCCGAAGGGAAAGCTCTGAAGCTCATTTCTTTATTTACTCTCCTTTCTCGTCACATTTGCTTCTTGTTTTAAAATAGCTAAAAAGCAAACCCCTTTCTCTGAAAATGTTTCTGAGGCTACCTGCCATGAACAGGAGTTTGAACAGAGAGAATCCAGATATTTTGATTATGATGATTGCAGGGAAACAGATAATAAGGGGTGTTGAGGAGGACAAAAGAGATCAGAGAGAAAGAGAGAGAGAGGGAAAAGATGGGCCCAGCAAAGCCTGCAACACAAATGAGTGCCACTGCAGTGCACCAAACACTAATGTCTTCCCTCTTCCCCTCTTTCACCTTTCCCTCTTAATTTATGCCATTTTTATTTTTCCATTCATTTTCAACACTCCCCCTTTTGTTTCTCTTTTTCCCTTGGACTTTATACTCACTTTCTTCCTTTTGCTGCTTTTCTACTTCAACTTCTTGTCTTTAATGTGCAAGACTAGATAGGCAACATTTTGTGTTTCTTAGTGTTAAGGATTTGACAAAGAGGGTGGTGCAGGATATCTTGATGGGGTCTAAGAAAATAAAACTCGTGTTTTGGGGTTGGGATGCTTGAAGGAAAAGATGCTTCTGTTCATGCAAAAGAAATCAGCACAACTGCACAACTTTGGTGCTGGTCTTTCATTTGGCATGATGTAAGTTTCCGAGTTTGGACTTTGGAATGCCTTCATTTCTTTTATTGTTTTCAACACAAATAACCTTGCTATTTGCCACTGCGGTTCTTTTGCATTTTCTTTTTACATTATAGTAGGTTCTCAAAGGACAAAATATCTTGGGAAGGAGTTGTTTAATGTCTCATGTTTTAGTGGCTTCGCTTGCTTTGTTGGGTGATGAAAAATCTCAGGTTGGTTGTGCTAGCTCGCATCATTTTGGTTTGATACTTTTCATGAATTCATTTGGCTGTTCGTTGTTGATATTTTATAACTAAGCTAAGAGCATTCTTTGATCGATTTTCTCTTTCTTCTTTCAGCATATCATCTATTTTGAATGTTGAAATGACGCTCGATTAAGTCGCATGCTGCATAATTATTTAACCATTTGCTCCGTTTCTCCTTCCAAATTTCTTTTCTAGTTTATGGTGGGGATGTTTTCTTGTTATGTAGGTCCATTTTCCTTTTCTCTCTTCGGATGACTAGACTCTATTGAAGGATCATACCACTATTGAAGTAAAGCTTTTCTGAAAGACCACTGCAAGATCAAGAGCCTCTTGTTACAATTTACTAATTACTGCTTATGCTGATGGAGACTGATATGTACATTGCTGGCCGAGATGCTACAGTAACAGATGAAATTTCCCAACATTCCACCTCAAATCCTCTCATTCAGTGCTATTCACTTGACCTTAACAATCAAACCAACATCATAAATGGAATTCCAATGCTTTCTGGAGAGCAAGGTGAACTTATAAGCAATGTCCATGCTGATGTTTGCTTCATTAATCCTTCAATTATTGCCAACTCTAGTCCATTAGTTGCCTCACAAGGAAAGACTATTGTGGCAGATGCTTCAAATCCCATGGAGAACAGTGAGCTTCAAGAGAATTTAGTTGGAGGAATGCCAATTACTCCCTCTTCCCTTGCTGCCATTCTCGCTGCTAGAATTGGTCTTGAAGAAAATTTAGAGAACTCAGAAGCCTTGCCTCCCGCACTCTGCTCAATGGGGCCACTGGCGCCATTCTTCAACATTTTGCATGGTTCTTCAAACCCTTTGGCTGCAGCTTTTGAGGACTGTGGTTACAATGAAGTCCCTAGCAAGTGGAATGCTAACAAGTTTCCTAAGACTCCAGAGATTGATGCAACTGTGTGTCAGCCTTATTCTTCAATAGTAGGAAACCTGGATCCAGATGAATGGCCATTATCAAATGTTGCAAACATGTCCAATCATGCTTACCATTCCTCTAACTTTAGCAAGGAACTTTCTCTAAGTCTTGCATCGTCTACAACCGCAGGACAGTGCTCAGAGGTGAGTTGCTCTAATGTGACCCCATGCATGAATGGAACCATGTCAGGCTTGGAACAAGCCTCATGCAGCAGCAGTAGGGAGCTTTCTATGAATTTGGGTGGTAATAAATATGTACAGTTTTCACCAGAAGTACTGGAGTCAAGATACCTTGTTGGGATTCAAGAAATACTTGCTCAAATTGCAAGATATTCATTTGAAAATTTAGAACAGTTAAATTATTCAGCTGCTGCTAATAGATCAGGTGGGAACAAGTCAACTTCAGCTTTCCCACTCAAGAGAAGGATACTGATAGATCACAATGCAAATTCCGTGTATGAAACTCATGCAGAGTCTCCATTACAAAGGCATGCCACTGAATCAAAGAAAGCCCAATTGCTGACACTTCTACAACTGGTATGACACTATTCTTAAATTTCCTCAATTTTGGTCATGGTCTCATAGACAATGGTCATGTTTAGATAAGCTTCTTTGTAAATATTTATAAGAGAAGAAAATAAGACATAAAATGAATTAAGTCAATCATAAAGTAAAATCAACTTATGAACTTCAACTTTTAGAGAATTTAGATGAGAGAGTTTCTATAAAAGTTAAATGCATAAATTGATTTTAGTTCAATTCATTTTACTTTCGTGTGTTTATAGAGGTTTTTCACTCAATGTCATTGCACTTTTCTCTATTCATATTCATGTTATGTCAAATAAATTACTTAAATTGGACCATAATAATGTTCTGGTAACCAGAAAAGTGAAGTTTAACAGTAGAACATGAAAGTTTTCTCTTTTGATCCTGAAATCTTGTCATGCAATGATGCAATTAGCAATGTTCTGTTCTTTTTTACTTAGGTGGACAATCGATATAGCCAGTGTTTGGATGAGATACACACTGTTGTATCGGCATTCCATGCCGCTACAGAGCTGGACCCGCAAATACATTCACATTTTGCTCTTCAGACCATCTCTATCCTTTACAGGGACTTAAGAGAGAGGATTAGCAATTATATTCTTGCCATGGGATCAAGTTTCGACAACTCTTTCTCAGAAGAGAATGAATGGTCTGTTGAAACTTCATTCCTTCAAAAGCAATGGGCACTCCAGCAGTTGAAAAGAAAAGATCAGTTGTGGAGGCCCCAAAGAGGCTTGCCAGAAAGATCTGTCTCAGTTCTACGGGCTTGGATGTTTCAGAATTTCCTTCATCCGTGAGTTTCAACTATAGAACATACAGAACATACCTCTTTCATGGATTTATTTTATACTTCAATCATGATTCATGAGTATATTTATAGAATTTGACTGAAGGATTTTTCAGGTATCCTAAAGATGCAGAGAAGCATTTGCTTGCAGTAAAAAGTGGGTTGACAAGAAGCCAGGTATTAGTATTATATTCGTATTAACTACTCATGCTACGTCCTTGTTATTTGTTTGTTTAAAGAGGAACGATCTAGTATGCTTGTTTGGTTGTGTCATCCACTGTGCCTTTGAACAGGTATCGAATTGGTTTATAAATGCTCGTGTTCGGCTGTGGAAACCTATGATTGAAGAGATGTATGCTGAGATGAATAAAAGAAAGGCTTGTCGGAATGAAGAAGGATTGCAGAGCAGCCACGGAAACAGGATAAGCATCAGTAATCAAAGGTTTAATGTAAACTAAAGGAACAAAAATGGACCATTTTCTTAATTTAAATACAAAACAGCACAACTGAAGTCAATTTCCGCGTGGTTTTGGGTCTATTACTAATGATGATATCCATGACTCGCCTTGAGAAAATAGAATGCGCCATTTATTTCACTGTCTATACTAACTCGATTGTTTAAGCTTCATTTTCTTTTATAGCGCTGCACCCGTACTAGAAATTAGTGTTATTGCATGATTGCAAGAAGTGTCGGTTAATATCATTTTTGAAAAGAATGGATCGATTCATTTGCGAACTGGCTAAAACTAAAAAAGCAAACGGTTTGGCGTCATCACACATACTTTCTGGGGAGTAAAGCTGAGGAGAAATGAAAGATGGACTGAGAGGACTTCTTTACGTAGATGGCAAGGAGGTTTGAACCTGCTAGCTAAACTTCTCACCACTAGCTCACTCCTATTGCTTCTAGCAATAATTTATTGATATCATGTAGAGAATAACTCCACTCCTAAACCAGTAAACCCCCACCCCACTCCAAACATACACATATTTTAGGTAACAAGTAATCACTTTCGAATTGTAATAAAATCGCTATTTTGAAGTGTTATATTACACATGGAAACGTGAAGTAAAATGGGCTAACCCTTTGGCATGCATGAACTATATCAGACTCTGGGAAAGAAGCACGACCTCGAACTTCCTATCAACACCAACAAAATTGACTGACTCAACCTAACATACTCAAGGTAGTAGGAGGAAATTTTTCTTTTGGGAGAATAGCCATACCTTGCTGAAGTATCGCTTCAGCAATATTTCTTTTACCACCGCACACATGCCATAAAAATAGACTAAATTTGACATAATTTATACAAGTAATTTTTAGGCATTGGTCATTAACTTTTTAATTTAAATTTATTTAACTTGCATTTTTTTTATATTTACAAATGTTATTTTAAATATTTTGAATTAATATAGAAAAAAAGTAAAAAGTAAATGGTAATTTACTCAATAAAGTCTCATTGAATAAGTCTACAATTTTATTATCTAAACCCAAAATTGAGATAATTTTGTATATTATCAACATTTTTTTAACATTTGTAATTTTACTGTAATTTAAAACATTTTCATTTAAAATATTTTTATTTAGTATCACATTATTTTTGTTCTAAGTTTTGTAGGCAAAGACAAAAAAAAAGTCCAACATTACAAGGAAAGGAAATTAATTATTATTTTTGTGAATATAAATAAGTAGTTGTTGCTTTGAGTAAAACATTCATTTGAATCCTTTCAAACATCCATACAAACATACATTTACAGCATGTTTGAGTACGCGTTTTTTTAAACGTAACTAATTTTTCATTTTTCAATGAAAGAAGTGAGAAGGATCGAAGGTGTTCTTTTAAATTGTAGAGTTTAGACATTTTTAAAGTCAAATCAAATCCGTACTTAATCATTAAACTTCATTCATATAATTTCCAAGCATTAATTTGTCCACGTAGGTCTGTTTATTTAAAAATAAAATCTTATAAAAGTACTTTCTTTTTAAGATTTTAATGTGTTTGTCTAATTTTTTTTTTTTAAAATAAACAGTTTTTTTTTTTTTTTAAGAAACAACTTCCATTTTTTTTAAATAATTATTTTTCTTTTAAAGTATTTGTTTATTTTTTTTTCTTTTCAGGTTTAAACATTGCTCTTGTTACAACAAAGTTGAATATTGTTTGACAATGTTTGTAGATACATGTAACACGATTAATACAGACTAACATGAGTAAAATATTTGTAACGATATATAAACTTTTTTTATTTACGATATTGATATTTTATTGATAAAAATAATAACTAATTTCTTGGAGGTTATGAGTGCATATAAATTTAATATTATTATTCTAATATAACTTATTTAATATTTAAATACATGATTTGAACTGCAGACAATTTGTTAACATTTATGTCAAGATATATTGTTACGATATATAAATTTTTAGGACACCAAACATTCTAATTTTGATTTTTTTTTTAAAAATAAAGTTAAGTTTCATAAATTTGAAGGCTTTCCAACTTCTTTGGTTGGATGAGAATATTGTTAGTACTACTTTTATGGTAATAAATAAAAGTATACTTAAATTTTAGAAAAAGAATATTATTCTAGTGTAATTAATGATATATTTGATTTAATTAAATTACAGTAGTATTTTCTTCTTTGGTTGGATGAGAATATTGTTAGTACTACTTCTATATAATTTTTCTTAAAAGTTATAGAGATAAGAGGAAACAAAATTCTAAGTCAACAGTGGGATGTAAATAGTATTTTTGATATTATAAAGATTAAATGGTTAAATTATACTTTTTTCTCATTTATCTAATTTATTAGATTCATTTTAATTTTTTATATTTTAAAATTTTATTTTTGATATTTTATCTCTTAAATTTGAATTAATTTAATTATTTTAAAATAATGATTATTTTCAATTTTGATATATGTTTTTACATATTATTTTTAATTGATTTGAGACTTAAAAATTAATTTTATTATATTTATTTATATAAAACTATTAAACGCAACTAAAAATTAAATAAAAAATATTATAAATATAATAAAAATTGCATAAAAATATTAATTTAATTATTTTAAAATAATGATTATTTTCAATTTTGATATATGTTTTTACATATTATTTTTAATTGATTTGAGACTTAAAAATTAATTTTATTATATTTATTTATATAAAACTATTAAACGCAACTAAAAATTAAATAAAAAATATTATAAATATAATAAAAATTGCATAAAAATAAATTTAAAATATAATTAAAAATTAAAAAATTATAATTTTATACTATTTTTTAACTACTTATGAAACATATTTTTCATAGGATTTTTATTATATTTATAACTCTTATGAATTCAAATGTCTAATTTTTATAAATTCAATTTATAAGTATAAGTTTCATGTTTTGAATGAGTTAAAAATTGATTTAAAATTATATCATAAAACTTAAAAATATTATTATTTTAAAAAATCAAATTAATTTAAATATAAAAATAAATGATCAAATAAATATTTTAAAATATAAAAAATTAAAATGAATTTAACAAATAAATAAAAAATAAAAATATAATTTAGCATGAACATCACTAGGATCATTGTAAAAAAAAAGGTTTGATAAGTGAGTAATTTAAAAAAAATTACGTATAAAATTTTATAAATTTAAATAAAAATAGCGATTTGAATTTAAATTAATTAAGTTAAAAAAAATAATGAAGCGGAAATGGGCCACGTTAGACGCAGTTGGGTGGGATAGTTTATGTGGAAGAAGTCGCTACCATTTTCCAAAAAATAAGAAAAGAGTTGGCTTCGGCGTAAACAGAAGACAGAGAGAGAGAGAGAGAGAGAAGCGGGTCTCCTGAAACTCTGGTGCGATTCCTTCGGTCACAGTCAGCATCACTATGGCTCTTCTGAGTCGAGCCTCTTCACGCTACCCTCACCTGCTCTCCCCTCAACGGGTACTTTCCCTCCACACCACGCTCCCATCCCTCACCCCATCCACACCCACACCCACACCCACCCCCTATGCTCCGCCACCGCCGCCATCCGCTTCCTCTCCCGCCCCCGTCTCCAAGGCGGCCGAGTTCGTGATCTCCAAGGTCGACGATCTCATGAACTGGGCCCGCCGCGGCTCCATCTGGCCCATGACCTTCGGCCTCGCCTGCTGCGCCGTCGAAATGATGCACACCGGCGCCGCCCGCTACGATCTCGATCGCTTCGGCATCATTTTCAGGCCCAGCCCGCGCCAGTCCGATTGCATGATCGTCGCCGGCACTCTCACCAACAAGATGGCCCCTGCTCTTCGCAAGTAACACTCCCCCCCCTTTTTCTAGGGTTTTCCTTTTTATCATTTCCCTAATTTATGTCATTTCATTCATTCACTTCGTCTGTCAATTCTTTTGCGTCTTTATTTGGTTTATATATGCTCTGGAAATTTTGTTAATTCAGGATTTCTCTGACTGAATTGCATTTCATGTTTTGCTTGTTTGTTTTATTAGACACTTGTTCCGGTCTTGTAACCTTCACTTTAGAATTGATGGAAAACTGGAACTAGGACGCTGTTTAAATGATGAAAATTTAAATCTCGTTGATACCAGTATCGTTTAAGGATTCTTTGAGCCTCTTGCTTCCTAAAACAAGAGTTATGCCATGTACTATAAAAAAAGTTTCGACTTTTAATTCGTTTCAGTTGTTAGTGTTGCAGAAAAAGAGTATGTCACTTCTTAATTCTTGCACTATTCTACAATACTGAATTTTAGGTTGCTCATCTTTATCTATATATGTTGCATGTAGGTTTGGGTAAACAACTTAATTAAACTTTTACTAATCATCTCATAAATTTGACAAAGGAACTTAGTGGAATAAGTAAGATAAAGAGAGATTATGAAAAATAAATTATTAGTAGAAAAGATTACAATGATGACAAGAAAGCTTAAGACATTATGCATACTATCTTGACTTCTCGGTTCTCACCTACTGGGCCAACTCTATGGCTCCAGACCTTGTAAAAATCATAAACTATTTTTATAAGATCGAATAAGCTCTTCTTAAGCACTTCCAAATGTCCCCTCATAAGTTTTGTTCTAGAACTGTTGAACATTAGCCAGCTTGTTGTACCAATTGTAGGACTCTGCAACTTTTTTAATTTCAATTGTTATATACTGTTTTTTCTCTTTTGATGTCTAAATTACTTTCTGCAATCTTGAAGAATATCTCTCTTGAAAGTAGTAGTTAGGGCTACTGTAATGCTTCATCCGCTTGGTGTTGGGATTTTTCTACAGTTGATGTTCATGAAACATTATTAACCAATTTTCTCTATCTTTCTGTTTCTCCCCTTTCCCGTGAAATTCTAAGTTTCCTCCTGTATTATTATTTTTGTGGCATTGATTCGTGTTCTGTCTTACCTTGGCAAACTGAATTGAATTTTACAACCCTTCTCTGGGATGCTGAATTTTTTTGCAGGGTTTATGACCAAATGCCTGAGCCTAGATGGGTAATCTCAATGGGAAGTTGTGCTAATGGAGGAGGATACTACCACTACTCTTACTCGGTTGTTCGGGGATGCGACAGGATTGTTCCTGTTGACATATATGTTCCAGGCTGTCCTCCAACTGCCGAGGCTCTGCTGTATGGACTGCTCCAGCTGCAGAAAAAGATCAATAGGCGCAAAGACTTCCTCCATTGGTGGACAAAGTGAGGTCGATCAAGTTTATTTTTCTTGGTAGACAAGTTATTATATAATAAGCAAATTCATGGCAATACATTACCTTATCACAGTTTCTGGATGTTCTATGTGCTGTTTTTACGGGGCTTCGGATCCCCTTTGAAGTTGAATTTTTTTATCTGTTAATGCTTCATCTGTACCGGAGAGTAAACAATACCTGAATGACTCGTGTGGTTTGTAAGTTACAGTTCTTTCGCTGGACCGATTTTCCCCTCGCTTACTACTTTTTCATGGCGTTTCAATAAATAGACCCTTATGTTATAGTGGTATTAAAAAATACAGAAGAGCCTCATATTTTTGTTTTCTTTTCAAACTATGATTGCACAATCTATGATTTATGTTCAAGATGCCTCATGCGGAGTCTCCATATCATGTATTATTATTATTATTATTATTATTATAGATTAATTTTCAGACTCGTTAAGATTTAGCAAGGTGCTTAAATCGATTATACTTTGTATTTTGACTTTCTTTTAGTTCGCTGTGACATTTACGTCTGGCCTCGATTTGAAATAAAAACGACATGATATGTATATTTTTCTCCAATTGTATACTTCTAGCAGTATTAAATTGGCAGGGTGGAAAAAAATCATTTTTTAGAAAACTTATATATATATATATAATATGTTTTAGAATAACTATGTTATATGAAGATGTCTTTAAGAGTCATTCTTTAACAGGAGTGTTTTTTTAGGAGATTTTCTTTTCTGAAAGTATTTTTAAAGAATTATTTAATGTCCTATCTCATTTAATTTATCATTGTTATCTGTATTTCTAAATTAAATTTTCATATATATTTTAAAAAAATATCAATGGTTTTTTGAAAAAAAATATCAATAGTTAAAAATAAGTTTATAACACAATATAAATTGTTTATCATAATTTAAAAAGTATAATTTATATATTAAAAATAGTTATTTATTGTAAATTTTAAATATAATATAATTTGTAGATTTAAAAAAAATATTTGTAATATTTAGTTATAAAATAAATATCTATCTTTAAAATATTACTTTTATTTTAATTGTATTGATTATATCAAAACTAGTTTGTTTGTGATTTATCTGTTTCACATTATGTTTCACTTAAAAATTACATAAATTTAAGATAATCTAGTTCAGAATTACAATCAGATTGAGTGATGTAATTGATATAATCTAAATTAACTTGTTAACACTCTAATTAATGTGTATCGACTAAACATAACCCAACTTTTTAAGTCTTTTTGGTTGACTATGGGAAAAAATGTTTAGTAATTTTTAGTTAGTGAACTTTTTACTAGTGTAGTTGAACCACTTCCTGTTCTAATTTTAAGGAATAACCAACCTACTACTTATAAGGATTTTAGACCAATCATTATGTGCTATATAATGTATACAACTATGAATTGATTTCAATTGATCATGTGAGTGGATTGTGACCTTTCTTAAATGATATGATTACCTTTTTCCAATATAATTTTATTATAGGTATAAGTTATTGTATCAGATATGTGGTGTTTAAAGTTCATCTTAAGAATTTGTGACAAAAGATCATGAAATATACTACAAGGATGTTTAGTTTGTTAAAAGTGAATATATTTTTCATCATTTGTAATATTTCTTATATCCGTGTCATGTTGACGTTAACAGAAAAAACTTAACTTTATATTTAATAATTTAGGAGACTTTGACCTATTTAATGGTTTATGAGACATTGAGTTTTTAATATTCTATCTTATTTGTTGATAATGCTCTCTCTTTCTCTATCTATCTATAAGGATTCTAGACCTATCATCATGTGTTGTATAATATGTAAAACTATAAATTGATTTCAACTGGTCATGTGAATGGATTGTGACCTTTCTTAAATGACATGATTATATTTTTCCGATGTAGTTTCATTACAGGTAGAAGTTATTATATTAGATATGTGGTGTTTAAAGTATATCTTAAGAATTTATGACAAAAGTTCCTTAAATATTTTACAAGGATGTTTAGCTTCTTAAAAGTTAATATATTTTCCATCATTTGTAACATATTCTGTATTCGTGTCACATTGATGTTGATAGAAGAAACTTAATTTTCTATTTAATAGTTTAGGAGACTTTTAACCTTTAATATCTTGTCTTTTATTTGTTGATAATGTTCTCTCTCTCTTTGTTGTCATGACGTTTTTTTTTTTCTACCAAAGTCAAACTTTCACATGCTTGTAACATGGTGTATATCCTAAAAGAGTTTTGTGAAATTTGGGCAAATGATTAGTTAATAGAATTTATGTTTTGAATGGTGTTCTTCAAGCCGAAAAGCAACAAATCACCAAATAAACAAATATTGGATTTGTAAATAGATGGAATGAGAAAAATACTTGGAACATAAGGATTTATTTTGTAATTGTAGCCAATATATGGTAGGATAAGATATGATAATTATCTTTTGTTGCACTAACTGACTAACAATATATGATAATGTTATTTTATTTCTTTTTTTATCCTATTAATATAATGTATGTTTTATCTCGAGTTAAGAGTTAAAAAATATCAGGATAGAATATGCTCTCCTTATTCTTCTTTACATATATTATCTTACATAATATATTATATTATAAGAATTAACAAAGTATATATAATAAATACAACATGTATAATAATAAATATAATTTTTAAAAAATATAGCAATATATATTATAATATTTTTTATAATAATATATAGTATTATAATGTGTATATATAATATCATAGAATAATATATTTATATATATAATAAATATTATATAAATCAAAAATAAAATTATAAAATATAACAATATATTATATAATATTAATTTAATATATGATATTATATCATAGACTACAATGTACACATAATTTTATAGAATATATACTATAAACTTGTTTTCAACATTTATTTTATATATAATTATAATAATTTGACATGTAAATTTAGAGTATACTATTAACTTAAATATTAAAATGATAAATTATTATTTAAATTTTCAAATTTTTTTGAATTTTAATTATAAATTTAAAATGTTGTATAATTCTAAGAAAACTAACAACATAAAAAATATTTTATATGATTGTTAAAAATATATTTTTTAACCCGTAAATTTTAAATAATCAAGTTAAAACTTACCTTTTAAAAAAAATTGATGTTATTTTAATGTTTTTTTTGTTATTTGAATATCATTTATGTTATATCTTATTAGTGTATATTAAATATAAAATATATAACATAATATTTATTATCAAAGATTAAATATTGAAATTTATATGTTTATTCATATTCGGCTCTTATTCTATTTCATTTTCATAGCATATACTATTTTTATCACGATCTCCAAACTGATTCTAAAACCTTTAGGAAAAAATTACCAAATAAACAAATATTGGGTTTAGGGACAAATGGAATGAGAAAATACTTATGATTTAATATCTTTGGAGTGGACTTCTTTAGGAAGATTTTTCCGAAAGCAGCTCCTATTTATTTTTTCTAAATCATTTTTTTTATTATTTTAAACAATCTAATCCCGAATATGATACATGTTGTGAAATCATATAATGAAAAGAAAATTCTAATTGACCTGCCCAATGTGTTATGACGGTTGTCACATATGCAAATGGTAATTATAACAAAGAAAAAATCCCACTCAAAAGGTTATTATTTATTTTTTATTTTTTAATTTAGGGACTAATATCTCAGCAGATTTATTATTTAAATTTTTCTAGGAACTAACATTAACATGTCATACTCTAATTTGAGGAAGAAAAGTTAGTGTTTAGCGACAATTTATATAAAGGGCAGGGCGAGTCTAAGAAAAAACCTATACAATAGGTTAACACAGCTAACGCGAGTAGCGAGTGTTTAGGGTTTGTGACGATGGCGGAAGAAGCACAGTATTCATCGGGAACCGACTCCGCACCCCTCAAGCGCAAGTACGACGACCAACCCAACGACAGACCCACCGGCTTCTCCGCCGGCCCTGCCACCGGCATCGAGCTCGCCAAGCAGCGTGCTCAAGAAGTCGCCGCTCGTCTCCTCAGCGGCGCTCCTCCTCCCCCCCCCGACGCCAACAAGCGTCCCAGGCCCGATTCCGGCTTCGATTCCCTCGGTAACATTATTTATCCCTTTTCTTTCCGCTCCACTCTATCTATTAGGTTTACTTTACGGTTTTAAACTCTCATTTCCGCTGACACAGATGCCAAACCTCAGTACTCAGCAGTTCCTCCTGTCTCCTATGCTCACCAAGGAACAAGCAAGAAGATAGATATCCCCAACGGTAGGGTTGGCGTCATTATTGGAAAAGCTGGAGAGACCATTAAGTATCTCCAGTTGCAATCTGGCGCCAAAATTCAAGTCACGCGCGACATGGACGCTGATCCTAATTCCCCGACTAGGATGGTTGAGCTCATGGGTACTCCTGAAGCAATTGCCTGTGCTGAGAAACTCATCAATGAAGTTCTTGCCGAGGTTTCATTCATTGTTTTCGTTTTATTCTTTTTTGCTGTAAATTAACTATGGTTTGGGACTTAGGGTTTCATGACTTATTGTACATGTTGACGGAATGATATAATTATAATAAGATGAAATAGGCCAACTGTTTTACAAGAATTTGTTCGAATGATTATATGTTAAAACTCAAAATATATTTGGCCTGATTTTTATTTATTTATTTTCTGTACCAGGCTGAATCTGGGGGTTCTGGCATTGTTGCTCGAAGACTGACTGGACAATCTGGGTCGGATGAATTTTCCATGAAAATCCCAAATAATAAGGTGTGGAAAGGAGATATGTATAAGCATATGCTTTGTACATTTTTTTAAGCTGTTGGTGTGTGGATTGATAGATTTTGCCGTGTATCTTCAGGTTGGCCTTATAATTGGTAAAGGAGGAGAAACAATAAAGAATATGCAAGCTTCGACTGGAGCACGGATTCAGGTTTTCACTTCTAACTGATATCTGGGATATTGTTGTATTTGATGAATCATAGTTAGCTTAGGGTTTAGTTGCTATGTTGTCTTACTGTGACTGTGATTACTACCTTTATAAAAATAGGTTGCCTTAACAGCCAGCTCTTGAGACTGTTCCTGTTTAGTGTTGCTTTTCACTAATATTGTAATTTTTTCCAGGTGATACCTCTGCATCTTCCCCCCGGTGACCCATCAACTGAAAGAACCTTAAAAATTGATGGGACTCCGGAGCAAATTGAGTCTGCAAAGCAGTTGGTTAATCAAGTTATCAGTGGCGAGGTATGTTAGGGATGCTATCCTTTTGTTACATTTGGCTGAGCATGTCTGCCTG